CAGATAGGTTGGTGATATTATCGAGTGGATGAGCTGGATTTATCTTTTTTTTTGGTCCATTGGGCCTGGCGACTTTCTGTTCGCAGTCCATTTGTAAAACGTTTTCAACTGTTTCTAAAAAAAAGGTTTTCAACTATATTTGTCTTCCAGGAAACAATTTAACAGGATGCACACGTGCGCGCATATACCAAGATAGTTTAGATACATCATATTTCCTTACAGTACTTTTTTTCTACAAAGTTCAGGACTCGTTTCATGTATAAAGGCAATAGAGTACATCAGTACATGCATTTAAGAAAAAAATACCTACCATAATAAGTTATAAAAAAACTGTTTTATTTTAAAATTCATTTCACGGCCCTAGGCACCTTTTTCTTGTTTTAATGGCTTATTTTTAAATTACAGCAAAAGCATAGACAATAATCTCTCCATATGTAACACAGTGTATTCTAGCATTCAAAAATTATACTCAAAAGGGTTATAGGGCCAACAGTTATTTTGCATTAAATAGTCACACAAATTTGGATGTATTACATTAGTACTTGTCATTTATCAACCAATCTTCAATAATCACGCTAGTGATAGCATCTAATTAGGAAATAAAGTAATAAGCACCTACATCTTTCGGGGCCTGTTTGGATGGGGGTGAATGAACTTTAATCACCCCTTTTAGTTCCTGAAGACCCAAACAATGTGAAAGGGATGACTAAACTAATTAGTCCATTAATCCCTTAGGGTTACTAAATAAAGGAATAAATGGCCAAAAAGACACTCCCCTACACCCTCCCCTGGCGCCCTGTCTTTCCCAAACAGTAGCTTTTTAATTAGGAGTGTTTTGGTTTTTGTACAGTACCTTTAATGGCCATTAGTGCCTCCATCCAAACAGGGTAAGTACTAAAGTTTAGTCCGGAGAAATTTAGTCCAGGGACTAAAGGGTCAAACAGGCCCTTATATTCTCTCTTCAGCTATCCTAAAGTCTTCATAATACACTATTAGCCTGTTCTCTTATAATCCGTACTTTTCAGTTGGAACAATGTTTTTCTCTCACAACAAATCGACTGGAACAGTGTTTCGGCTTGTTTTTTCAACGAAGCGAACGGGGCCTATGCCTCACATCAATTGTTTCTGGTCTATATTGAGATTGCCAGGCACCCAAAAAACTGTATATATTATGTCTCCTTTTAAACCCAACTGTCTTTAGTGGCCGTTTTGATTTTTTAATACATCAAATTTGCTATGTATTTAGACGTACGTTATGTCTAAATACATAGCAAATTTAATGTATCAAAAAAATAATGACTTATAATTTAAAATAATTTGGAATGAAGGGAGTACGTGGACAACTAGGATCATGGGCCAACATGATGGGAATCATGACCCCATGGTACCAAACTATTTTGAGGGCGGGGAAAAGTACTTTTAACGTCTATATGGACTACATAGTTTTTATCATTTATCTAAATATACAATAATTTAAATATATAACTAATAAAATATATATGTAGCGATCCATAGCCATCACAGGTTGTCTCTCGGCTCTCCATCCCAGACTCCGATCCTCGAAGGCTCGAACCACTTATGCAAACGTATTATTACATCCAGCCCCATGTAAGAGGACCCCTTGTAGAAATAGAAATTACACTGAAGTCCCTTTCAGGTCCTTATCGTCTTCATCGCCTCCGCTTGGGACGCCTGCCTATCAAGATGGAAGCTTGAAACCGGTCTCCGTATGTACGAAGATGCATCACAGTTTACAAATGGCAACAGCAGCACATCGAACAAATCAACGTGCTCTTGAAACGTTAAACGCCCCGGCAAACAGCCGTCAGCCAAATCTTCGTCGCAAGGAAAGGGATCTGACGCCTCCAGCCTCCATGACAGACCCCAATCGGTGGACGCCGAAGAACCAAGATGAGGATAAAAAGCTCCAACCCAAACTGTAAGTCTAGGTAGAGGAAAACATACCTCACGAGCTTTTCACCAGAAACCGCGTCACCATCGTCGCAGCTGCCGGAGTTGGCCCAGAGGAAGATAAACTCATAAGCGTGAGAGCGCAAGCCCAAAATGGAATGGCCAAGGGCAACAGATGGCTACTGTGCGACTGTGTGGCCCATATTGCCTAGGGCAACGAGTGCTACTGTGTGGCCCAACGAGTCGAATCTTAAATTTGAAGATCTCTACGACCACACCGAGTCGAATCTTCAAATTTTGCATGACTAGTAGTACTTCCTTTAGTAGTGAGCGTCTCCAAGAGTTTCAAATAAAACCCCACAATCCATAATTTTTCGGTAAGAATAGGAAAAAACTCATATTCAAGAGTTCCTAATACCACCTTCCAATCTTTTGGCACTTGTAAAAGATCACCGAACACTCGGATATATCCGCGCGTCTTCCACTCGCGTATCTGTCAGCCAATCTAAAGTGGAAGGCCATGGAAAGAAATAAAGAGAAGGAAAGAGTTCTTGATGCAAATGTACCAGAGAGAAAGAATATATAAAAGTGGTTAGGGTGATTTAGAAATAGCAAATGATTCCTGATGTAAAATTGTTTTCAATGTTTTAAGAGTGAACCGTTGGAAATTGTTCGAGATGGTCTTAGTTATTCCTCTCATACTTTTTGGCGAATTGGAAAACTTTATGATTTTGGGAAGAAATTCTTGGGAACTCTCAGAGATAACTATATTCATTTTGAGTAATGTTTTCTTAATCACATATACAACTTCCTCTAACCATAAAGGAAGTTAATTCTAATACAATACTAAATTAAAGTATCTTAAGTTTGACTAATTATAAAAAAATCAACATTTATGATATCAAATAAATATTATTTGGTTTGTCATGAGATATATTTTCATAGTATATCTGTTTGGTGTCTTAAACATCAATATTTTTATTTATTTATATATTTGGTCAAACTTTAGATACTTTAACAAAGAAAACACCTAGATTTGCATTTTTTTAGACAGAGTGAGTATTTATATAATTCTTTTTTAGACAGAGTGAGTATTTCTTAAAAATTATAACTATATTTTAATAAAAAACGGTAGTCCAGATCATGTCTCGATGACCTCAAAAGGTAAAAAAACCCAGCATATACCCATGGATTAAACACAATTAAGGAGATTTTTCTTAAATTATGGTTTTCTTTTTAATGAACTTCGCCAAATAGGAGCATGAGCATCACATAAAATGCATTATATTTTAGTACAAATTTTAGAAGTCATAGCACACTATATTTAAGGACGAAGGGAGTATGTACTCTTTGTTAAAGCCAAATTCCTTTCTAATATTTTACATAAAGATAATTCTTTACTCATGACGAGGAGTAAAAGTTTAACCTCAGAAAGTGGAAAGTGTCTTAGTTCAAACAAAATCCTTTATACTATCGCTTATATTGTGGGAAATTTTTCAAAAGCTTCAATCCCTTGTATAGCTGTATTGAGAGTTTACATTGTTACCATGTTGACATATTTGTAAATTTCATTAATAGGTAACTTGGAGATACTAATGTGTGATTTGGTTAGTAAACCTAGATTTGCTTATTTATCTGTATGGCCGCATTTATATATGACGATTCTATTCATTGCAAGAGTATTTTGTTCAATAAATTTAATATGCGAAGAATTGTGTACTTTGATTCTGGTTGGATGCATAGGGCTAATTGTTAACCAGCTAATTTTAAATCTTAATCCATCTAAACAGAAGGCTAATAGGAATCTTTGTTGTTATTTGACTATACATCAGCACAACCTTAGATGTGATTCCTGTTCCTCCACTTGTGATAAAGGCCCAAAAGTCCTCTACTAGTAGACGACTCCACAACATTTATAGACTTTTGACCTATGGAAATATAAGCTTGAGTGAGATTTCTGGTATCCAAACGTCCTCCCAAAACAGCACCCTTTAACTTTAGATGTGGCCCTTTATCTCGAACGTGTTTGTTTGCCGTCTTGGAATCTGCTAGGCATAGGCAAATAACGCCAGACGCGCGATTTCGTCGGCATGGTGCCACGATCATTGCCTGAATGAGAAGCTCCCTGAAAGGCACAATCCAAACACGCTATAAAAACCTGCTTGATTTTTCTAAATGCCTTGGCAATATTGGCTCTGTTTGACATGACTTATTGCTGTTGCGGCTGATTTGTAGGACTGATTTATTGTGAGAGAAAAACATTGTTTCATAGGTTAAAAAAGTAGAGATAATTCTGGTTTATAAGCTCAAGAGCCATCGAGACGATAGCCGGTAGGTGAGAAAAGAGCGGGGGAGCACAAAAATGCAACCGGCGGCGGGTGCCGCAGTGCCGGGTGGCGGCAGCATCTCTGCCGGAGGAAGAGCCGCCGGAGACACATGGACCGTGAATTGTGAGGCAGCATCCGGGTCGCTTTCACTTGCACTGTTGCACTCAGCAGTCAGCCGTGACGGCATATATGTATCCAAGTTTGTCCTGCACTAGACGCCACCTCCACCGAACATTTCTGATCAGCGTTTACCTGGAGCAGACAGCAGAGCAGCTGAGGCATCCCGGATTCGCTTCCGAAACCGACAACCGTGCCCGCCGGCAGCAACGGGCTGGCCGTCCGCGTCACCAACCTCTTGGCCTCTTCCAACACCCGCGTATCCCACAGGATACCACGATGGAACCCGTCTTCAACGTCATACCTACACCCGACAGAGTAGAAGACCTATTTTATTTTAGATTGAGTGAAGATATAACCTAAATTTAAGTATCATCTTTCTTAGAAATCTATAGGAAGATATAACCTAATCTCTCTTAGAAATCTATAGGTAGAAAGAGTTGTTTTTAGTCTTATTATTGAAGAAGACTAAAACTAGATATTGAACCATTTATCTTTAACATTACCCGATGACAATTGGGTCTTATATTTATATTTTGGATGGCGGTTGTTGCACACAGCCTTGAATAGACGCCATCGGTCTCCCCGATCCAGTCACCGGCCGGGCGATCTAGTACTAGAGTAGAGCAGTGGGATCGCGCGGCAATGGCGAAGGCGGAAGCGGCGGCGGCGCACGTGCTGGTGTTCCCGGCCCCGGCACAGGGCCACCTCAACAGCTTCCTCCACTTCTCCACGGGGCTCCTCCGCGCGGGCCTCCACGTCACCTTCCTCCACACCGACCACAACCTCCGCCGCCTCGGCGCCGCGGTCGCCGAGGCCACGGCCGCCTCGCCGCGCCTCCGCTTCCTGTCCGTGCCCGACGGCCTCCCCGACGACGACCCGCGCGCCGTCGACGGCCTCCCGGCACTCTTGGAGGCCCTGCGCACCAAGGCCAGCGCCGCGTACCACACCCTGCTCGCCTCGCTGCGCGCGGGAGGCGGAGGCGCAGCCGCCGACGGCTTCCCGGCCGTGACGTGCGTCGTCGGCGACGGTATAATGCCGTTCGTGGTCGACGTCGCGGAGGAGCTCGGCGTCCCGGCGATCTCCTACCGCACGGTGAGCGCGTGCGCCGTGCTGGCGTACCTGTCCGTGCCCAGGCTTCTCGACCTCGGTGAGCTCCCCTTCCCCGAAGGTGGCGACCTCGACGCGCCCATCCGCGGCGTCCCGGGGATGGAGAACTTCCTGCGACGGCGAGACCTCCCGATCCAGTTCCGCCAACTCACCAGCACGCACGAGGAGCCCTTGATCAAGGGGGTGGTCGCAGCCACCCTGCACAGCCGCAAGGCCAGAGCTCTCATGGTCAACACGACCACGTCCCTGGAGCGGTCGTCCCTCGCGCACCTCGCAAAGGAGATGCGCGGCGTGTTCGCAGTGGGGCCTCTGCACGCCATGTCCCCCGCGCCGGCGGTGGCCACGAGCCTGTGGCGCCCCGACGACGGGTGCATGGCGTGGCTCGACAGCCAGGCGGAGGCGGCGCGGTCCGTGGTGTACATCAGCCTGGGCAGCCTCACCATCATCTCCCACGAGCAGTTCACCGAGTTCCTGCACGGGCTCGTCGCCACCGGCTACCCGTTCCTGTGGGTGCTCCGGCCGGACATGCTCGGGGCCAGCCAGGACGCCGCGCTCCAGGAAGCCATCGGCTCGGTCGGGAGAGACAGGGCGTGCGTCGTGCCATGGGTGCCGCAGCGAGACGTGCTGCAGCACCGCGCCGTGGGGTGCTTCCTGACGCACAGCGGGTGGAACTCGACGCTGGAGGGCATCGTCGAGGGCGTGCCCATGGTGTGCTGGCCCTTCTTCGCCGACCAGCAGATCAACAGCCGCTTCGTGGCCGCCGTGTGGAGGAACGGGCTGGACATGAAGGACGTGTGCGACAGAGGCGTGGTGGAGAGGACGGTGAGGGAAGCCATGGAGTCCGCCAAGATCAGGAGCTCGGCTCGTGCTCTGGCGGAGCAGGTGAAGCGTGACGTTGCCGACGGCGGGGCATCGGCGTTGGAGTTCAAGCGCCTCGTCAGCTTCATCAGGGAGCTCAGCACGTCAGCAGCACACACACACCATCTCCAAAATCTTGAAATGAATGGATCGAAATTAATCTAGATAGACACGCGCCAATTCAATGGCCGGATGGGCATATACCAATTGTCATCTCGTACTAAACACGGCCCAGTCGGGGCTTGCACAGATCGGCATATGACGCCCACCGCACATGCACGACGTATTCGTCGTTGGGCCTCTCCATGCCATGTACCTAAACCGGCGGCAGCGTGCACCGGCCTGTGGCGTGAGGGACGACGGCTGCTTGGCATTGCTATGCTCGCCGTTACCTGTTAGTGTTACGAGCAGTTCACCGAGTTCACGTGGGACTCGTCGCCACCGGTTACCCATTTCTCTGGGGTGCCCCGATCGGACATGGTCGAGGAGGCCGACGGCACTAATTCGCGAAAGCTCATTCGACTGGAATTCAGCAAACAATATTTCGACAAGTCCCACAGTTCCTTTTTTTAACAACCTCCGCCTCTTTTCCTATTTGGATAATACCATGTGCGCGTTCATTATCTTTTTGCATGCTCTGCTGCACGTGCTGGTTCTCGGACCCAGCGAATCGATGATCCCACTAGCTCAATAATTTTCTTTTTTTGAAAAAAAATATTTTCGTAACTTTTTTTTTGGAAAGTTACAAAGTTGTACTCATAACTTCTACATATAACTTTTTGTGCAAAAATTATCACCATATTTTTTTAGAAAGTTGCAAAGTTATACACATAAATTTTATATAATATTTTTCAAAACATAACTGGTCAAAGTGCTAACAAAACTCTCTATCCCGATGTCAAAGTCGGGTTCAAACCCCACGCTTGATCCGTCAAGCGATGAGGCAATACTCAGCGAATTCCTTAGGAAATATATGCTGGACGATACGGCTCGTGCTGCCACTCTAGTTGGAAACGGGGAGAACTAGATGGATCCAATCCGGGCGTACCTCACAAACCAGGCTACTCTGGTCGATGATATGAACATAGAACGAACCAACCGTAAAGCCATGGGCTATCAAATGCTTGATGGTACCCTCTACAAGCGAGGGCGAAATGGAGTTCTTCTCAAGTGTATCACCCAGACCGAGGGCATTAGTTTGCTCCGTGAAATCCACCGAGGAATATGTGGGTCCCATGCCTATCACAGAACGTTGGTCGGGAAAGCCTTTAGACAAGGATTTTACTGGCCTACAACACTCGAAGACGCCACTGAGTTGGTTCAAACATGTGAAGCTTGTCAGTTTTTTAAACGGCAGATTCACCAACCTGCTCAAGCGTTAAATACGATCCCTTTGTCTTGGCCGTTTGCCACATGGGGCATCGACATCCTTGGTCCTTTCTCGAGGGCCTAGGGTGGCTATAGATTTATGATTGTAGCGATTGATACTTTCACAAAGTGGGTTGAAGCTGAACCAGTAGAACGGATAACCAAAGAGAATATAGTCAAATTTTTGCGGAGCATTGTACTACGTTTTGGCGTGCCGCACCGAATACTTTCGAATAATGGTACACAATTTACCAGCAAAAAATTTGATAATTTTTGTGAAAGGCATGCTATTAAGCATTATCGGTCCTCAACCTACCACCCGATGACCAACGGTCAAGTAGAGTGTGCTAACAGAATAATTCTGCAAGGGATCAATACCCATATTTTTGATAGGCTTAGTGCCTACGATAAAAAAATAGGTCGAAGAACTCCCCACAGTTTTATGGGCAGTGCGCACTACAACTAACCGGGCAACGGATGAAACGCCATTTTTCCTTGTGTATGGGGTTGAAGCTGTCTTTCTCCCCGAAGTCCGACTAAACTCGCCCCGAGTAGTGATGTTCTCCGAAGAAGAGCAAGCTGACCGTCGTTACACCGACCTAGAACTCCTCAAAGAAAGGCGTGATATAGCCGCATTCCAAGTCGAGAAATACCAGCAAGCCCTGCGGAGATACCATAGCCAGCGTGTACGTGGCGGACGCTTAATATCGACGATCTGGTACTCAAACTAGACCAACACACAAAGGATAAAACTAAGTTGACACCCCCTTGGCAGGTCCATACATCGTAGTTGATATAGCCCGACCTGGCGCATACCAACTGGCAGAGAGATAGATAGGGATATGCTCCCCGAATCACGTGAAACATGGATCAACTACAACGCTTTTATGCATAATAAACTGCGTGCCTGATGTTCGGTTTCTCAGCATATAACCCAGATAGGTGCTTCATTTATTGTTTAATTTCTACTCTTTATTCGGATAAGTCACACATATCCAAATAAAGAGTCGGGGGCTATCAAACTACTATTCACTAGTCTACAAAAATTCTCGATCATGCTAAGACTAAATCATGCAAACGGCATCGACTCACAGTACACAAACGACATCGACTCACAGTATAAAATTTAGTTTGCATAATGAAGGATTCAAATAGCAAAAGAAAGAAGAATTGTGCAAGTCTAACAAAGTAGTTTAACATAATACATCATACAATATTGCAGGGACATGTAAATATTTCCTTTTTCCTCAACACAAATTGACAGGCTTAGCTTTGTCAGCCTGCTCAAGTGTTAAATATGGCTCGGTAGCTGTAGTGTAAGTTACTCATAAAGCAAACTATCACTTTTTTATTCACAGAATAGAATTGGCGATTGAGTACTATGTGAATAATTTATAAGCCCGAGTTGTGAGTAAAGTTCTAACCCGACTAAGGCATCCCGATTAGCCTATAGCTCGGGGCTATGAGTAAACTCAGCAACCAGGACAACACCGCTAAAGTTATCCCGACTTCGGTACGTCACGGCTCTACTCGCGACGACTCGAGCATGGAACAGTTTGAAAAATACGGATAAACAGCGAGATAATCATTGGGAACTTGTCATTTCATTGATTCATTAACATGGATTTACAAATGTTTAAACTGGGCCCCTAATCTAAGACAGTAGGAGTAGGCACGTCCATCGCTTGTCACCAAGCTCCTCAGAGGGCTGGCCAACGAGATGGGAGTAGCTTAGCTCCTCGATGGTGACCCACCGCTCGCGGGCTCGTTCTCCTCCTCCTCCTCCTCCTCGTCGTCGGCGTCCTCCTCCTTGGCGACCTCTCCCTCACTGTCGCTGCTGAGGATCACCAGGCCACCGTCTCGTGGGATGCCGATGGCCTCACGATTCAGCTCAACAAAGAGCTTCCTCGCGATCTCCTTGTCATGGCTCGTGTCCGGCGAGCCAGTGCCACAAGGAGCGGAGGGGCTAGGGATGTAGAGGGCGATCGAGGCAACGGAGACAGGAGTGGCGGCGGAGGCCGGAGCGATAGGAACAAGACCCACCAGTGGGGCTAAGTCTTTTGGCTCGTCCTCATCAGAGAGCTCGATCACCACCTCCGGCGCCGATGGCACTGGCTGAGTTGCAGTCCCGGCTGGAGATCCCGGCACCGCGACTTCATTGACCCTAGCTTCCCCTCCAGGGACCGTTGGGGCTGGAGCCGCGGGGAGTGCAGCTGGTGGCGCCGCCGCCGCCGGTTCTGGGGCTCCGGAGGACGTCGGGGACGGAGACGTGGTCGCATACAGCGGAGGCGACGCCGTGCTACTCGATGCCGCCGCCATGGCCGATTGGCCGGGCGACTGTGCGAGTAGCAGACGCGGCACCTTGTGGGGATGTTTGCGGCTGGTGGTTTTCTTCCTCATCTTTTCTACGAAATTTGAGAATGGAGGTTGTAGATTTATCACGAGAGGGCCTGATTAAATAGGACCAAGCCGCCTTTCTAGGAATCTCAACCACCACCTCAATTAAAAAAGGAATTAAATCTCCACCACGCGCACTCATGGGGAACCGAGCCGACGCAGCGCTTTAACTGACAGACGACTGCGCGTCCCCTGGCTTGTGTATGATGCGGGATTGACAAGATAGGACAACCCGGGGATGGCACTAGAACAAGCTCATCTCCCAACAGCGCACCTCTCTCGGCCTGCCCAAGATCGGGTCTTAAGTCGTGAGTGGCAATTTTGGGTGGCGTCTAACCAATCAGATCACAAGCCACCCGACTAAGACAATCCCGACTACACACAGACGCTCGAGTTGCGTTTGACAGACAAGCTTGGGGGTTTATGTCGATGCCATACCCCGCGTATCTCGACTTCCATATTGCCGACTACCGACTCTGGATCAAAGAAGACTCGAAGGCCCACGATGACCCTATTCAAGGAAGGATATCTCCGGATGACACCAGAACTCTGACTAGGGCACGACTCCTTAGCTTGTAGGGCAAGTGGATCCTGGATATAAATAGCTAGCAATTCTCCCTGTTGTAATCATCGACTCTCTAATGAGCATAGCTACATTGTAATAGCAATCTCGCCGAATACAAGCAATACAAGAGTAGTAACTAGACGTAGGGCTTTTACTCGCTTTCCAGAGGCCCCAACAAGTATAAATCTCGTCTCCATCTGTGATTGTTCTTCGCACAAAGCGGGGTTTCCCAAGAACCAAATATCTGCAGGTAAAAAACACCGACAATAACTTATCAACATAATTTCCTTTTCTAGAAAAAATGATTCTCGTATTTTTCTTTTTCTTTTTGAAAAGTTACAAAATTATACGTATGACTTGTACGCATAACTTTTTAGGTAACCACTTATCATCATAAGTTTTAAATTTCTTTTGGAAAAAAATATTGGTGTCTTAGGTTCAACTCCACAAAGTTTGCAGATCGGATCGGCTGCCCAATTTCGCTAGATTAAGTTATTGGCAGTTAGAATCTTCTTATGAAGAAGGGTCCAGGCAAAGAAGCGACATTTTGGTTCTGCCCCTGCTCTCCAAATAGGTGTCAATTTTAGTTTGCTGAAAGAGCCTTCGAATTGGATTTGGTAAGCGCTTTTGGATGTGTATTCCCCATCGGCTGTCCATCTCCATCGAATGCCATCTTCTGTGTTTTCTTGAAGTCTCGTTCCTTGGACACGTTCCCATAGGTCAACATATTCATGAATTTCCTGGCGTTTGAAGTGGAAGGATATGGGAGATCCATCGATTGTCTTGTAATGCCTTTTGAACTGAAATCTTTTTTCTCTTTGCCTTTCTGAAAAGTGCAGGTGCAAGAATACTAGGCGAGGTCCCTGAAGCCATGAGGATGACCAAAACAGCGCCGTTTTTCCATCGCCTACTGTTACTACTGTGGAAGCATTAAAAAGATCATGGTCACGCTTATCGCCTGGAAGCTCAAGTCCATTCCGCGGCCGCTCCTTTTGTTTGAACCATAGCTATCTCAATCTTAGTGCACGAGTGAAACGTTCTAGGTCTAAGGGCCTGTTTAGATTTAAAAAATTTTGCGCAGTATCCGTCACATCGAATCTTGCGGCACATGCATGGAGTACTAAATATAGACGAAAAAAAAACTAATTACACAGTTGGGTGAGAAATCGCGAGACGAAACTTTTAAACCTAATTAGTTCATAATTAGACACTAATTACTAAATACAAACGATAATTAGTTCATAATTAGACACTAATTACTAAATACAAACGAAATGCTACAGTAAGTCAAAATCCAAAATTTTTTGGATCTAAACGGGGCCTAAAATACCGATTCCGCCTTTTCCTTTTGGCCGGCATGCTGTTGGCCAATTCACAAGGAATGGCCACCGTAGACCTTGTCAGGTGTCCCCCCCCACCCCACCCACCCACCCACCCCACACCACATAAGAAGCTCTTCGAAAACGATCAATCTTGTGTATGAGTCATTTCAGTTCCATAAAGGTAGAAGTATTTAGTCATTAACTGTAGCTATTTTATCAAACGGTTCACTAGAACCGCATCGGTTTCATTGTTAGAGGTGTGCGTAAAACTAAAGAAAAAAATAGCTTCACTGGTTAAGTGAAGCTGTGTCAAATGGCCGGGAGCCGATAGTAGTAGAAGGGCTTGTTTGATGCATAGGTATTCATCTCAATCCACATGAGTTGAAGTGGATCGGAGCAGAATCGAACTAAATTATATTTTACTCCACTCCAACATATGTAGATTGAGGTGAATACGAACGCATCCATGTGATTTCAGATGCCTAAGCGCCTGCGTCAACTAGCCACGATATATATAAAATTACAAATGCAGCGCACGGATCTTGCTACCAGTCCCTGACCCTGCTCGCATCTTCGGACGGACATGGCGCCGGCGCACGTCCTCTTGTTCCCGTGGCCGATGCAGGGCCACATCAACTGCATGCTCCACTTCGCCACGGGCCTCGCCGGCGCCGGCCTCCACGTCTCTTTCCTCCACACCGAGCGCACAACCTCCGCCTGCTCGGCCTGGCCTCCGCGGCCGCCGCGCCGCGCCTCCGCTTCCTGTCCGTCCCAGATGGCCTCCCGGACGACCACCCACGCTCAGTCGGTGACCTTATGGAGCTCGCCAGGTCCCTGAAGACGGAGGGCTCCGTCGCATACCGTGCTCTGCTTATCACATTGCTGCCAGTGCCAGCGTCGGAGAGCGCGGGCCCTTCCTCCGACGCCTGCGTCGATCCCGGCTTTCCGCCGGTGACATGCGTCGTCGCCGACGGGCTGCTGCCTTGGGCCATCGACACCGCCGAGGAGCTCGGCTTGCCAGCGCTCGCCTTCCGCACGGCGAGCGCCTGCAGCTTCTTGGCCTACCTGTCCGTGCCCAAGCTCTTCGACCTTGGCAAGCTCCCCATCCCTGCCGGCGGCAGCCTTGACGAGCCGGTGCGCGGCGTCCCGGGGATGGAGAGCTACCTACGCCGGCGTGATCTCCCACGCCAGTGACGCCGCCTTAGCGAGACCGTCGACGTCGATCCCATGCTGCACTTGCTCGCCACCGGCACCGCGCACAACGTCAACGCACGGGCACTGATACTGAACACAGCCGCCTCCCTGGTAGGCTCAGCCGTCACGAACATCGCACGGCGCACGCGCGACGTATTTGCCATCGGGCCTTTACACGCAGCGTCACCGGCGCCGGCGGTGGCCTCCAGCCTGTGGCGCGAGGACGACGGGTGCACAGCATGGCTCGACGGCCACGCCGACCGGTCCGTCGTGTTCGTGAGCTTGGGAAGCCTCGCCGTGATCTCCCACGAGCAGTTCACGGAGTTCCTGTCTGGTCTCGTCGCCGCGGGCTACCCTTTCCTCTGGGTGCTCCGGCCGGACATGGTCGAGGCAGGAGGACAGGACTCCGCGCTCCGAGAAGCCATCCGCGCCGTCGGAAGCAAGAACGCGCGCGTCGTGCCGTGGGCGCCGCAGCGAGACGTGCTTGGGCACCGCGCCGTCGGGTGCTTCCTGACGCACGCCGGGTGGAACTCGACGCTGGAGGGCATCGTCGAGGGCGTGCCCATGGTGTGCTGGCCCTTCTTCGCCGACCAGCAGATCAACAGCCGCTTCGTGGGCACCGTGTGGAGGAACGGGCTGGACATGAAGGACGTGTGCGACAGGGCCGTCGTGCAGAGGACGCTGAAGGAGGCGATGGAGTCCGATGTGATCAAGGGCTCGGCGCAGGCGTTGGCGCAGCAGGTGAGGCGGGATGTCGCCGGTGGGCGCTCGTCGCCGGTGGAACTTGAGCGGCTCGTCAGATTCATAGAGGAGCTCAGCACACCCGAGCCATTACTGATGAGTAGGATGAATGGAGAGTAGCAACATGTGTACTGGCGAATCCATTCAGAATTGGTTGTTGTTAACTTCTGATCCTGTTTATTTTCTGGGGCTCCTCAGAGTCCCGGACACTGAATGAATTGTAGTCCCTGTTAGCAATGGCAAGGGTTGTCGTTCCATTGTGCCATCTGCCATTGTGTTGTTGCTCTTAGCTTCAACAATGTGTAGTGCGTACACAAAAACTCTTGAATTTTTATTTGGAAATACCAATTCTCAAGTGAGTTGTTGCAGAAGATCACAATTCAAGATTCAAGGGATACATTCAGACTTCTGGGCTACCAGCCTACCACGTTTTCTTTTGACAGTCCTTGCAGTATATACAGAACTATGGGTAATGGGTCCACGGCGCTTGTATCATGCCCTAAAACTGGCCCTCTTGAATAACGGCCAGTACTATTTATTCCTCAAATTCACAAATGCACGACAAAAGTTGATATCTCCGAAATCCTGACGAACAATTTGTTTTTAAACTCAGCTGTGGCAGAATAGCAAGCATCAAAAGGGGAAAAAAAAAGAGATACTACCAGATTACTCTCTGCACAAAGTGGTAACGAACGCTATGAAGACAAGCAGCAACTCATCTCTTGAGAAACCCCTACCAGCACCATCAACTTCTTATTAATGCAAAATATCACACAAGTAATAACCATCTCAAATATATCTTGAGATAATTGGGATGCAAAAACATAAGAAAGCGCTCAGACAAATTTAGCAGTCCATTATGTCACCAAGAACATACGTTGACAAATATATAGTCATATACAACCATTACATATAAATCACCAAAACTTAAGGATTTACACCAACCATATGCTGACAGTTTAGTTTTGCCGATAACACATGGTCACTTGGGACTTGCACGATTCATGAACTAATCCAAAAAAAAAAGAGACTACTCATAAACGAACAAGCAATGCGTATCCGGCACAGAATGACGCAGCAGCTAGTATCCGATTCCTGACAAGGCAGCCCGGGCATGGCGCTGGCGCTCCATCTCTGGCAAGAGGCTTCGGATGAGGCGCACGCTCTTCCCCGCCGTGGTCGGCCTCGCCAAAGGCAGCGTCTCCTTCTTCTGCGCGGCGGTGGGCGGAGACAGGGACGGCGGTGGAGTCGTCGGCGACGGAGAGGTCTTGATCACCCTGACGTGGTGTCGCGGGACGAGGATGGTGCCTTTGGGATCGCCGGATGGCCGGTTGCCGTCGTACACGACCTCGTAGCCTCCGTGGGTGGACGACACGACCGTGGCTTTGAGCCAGAGCACGAGAACCTGCCCCGTCTTCAGCGTCGTGGTCCTCGTGCGGACACCAACCACCGTACCAGGCCTCAGAAGCGCGGCGATGCCGGGAATTGCTTGGCTCGCGGACCCGGCCGAAGAGGGGACGGACCGAGGCGGCCGCGGTGGTGGCGAGGCTGCGATGCAGCGCGAGGAAACACGAGGCCGGGACTGTGCTGACGCGTCGGCGACGGTGGAGCCTCGGGAATGGGAGATGATCGAGGAAGTGGCCGCCCGGTGCGGTGTAAGAGGTCGGGTATCTCGGACGGCGTCGCTCGAACCCTGACGCGGCGGCGGAGACGCGGACAGCTTCTTGCCGACCGACCTCGTGGGCGCCAAGGGCTTGGACCTCCTGCGCTGGAGCTCGCGGCGGATGCTCCGCATGCCAGCGGAAGAGGATCGCTGCGGAAGATACATCACCATGGAGGGCGGAGGAGAGCTGCGGATGGATTGGATCGACGAGCAGCAGAGAGAGTGGGTGGATTGCGGAAGGAAGGAGACGGCGAGGGAGCAGAGGAATTGGGCGCCAGGAGAAGGGAAGGGGAGAGCGTGGGATTTAAGCAGTTGGGCTGGATCTCAGATCTAGCCCAACCACGCGGTTTCGAGTCCGACTCGAAGTCGAAATCGAGGCCGGATTTTTTTCCTCAGCCGTTGGGCTTTCTCGCTGGGGTCCTATCTGCCAGATTTTCTAGTGGCCCATTAATTGTCCCAGTTACGAACCATTCCAGATTCCAATCCTAAACCTTCGGTACTTCGTCCGTACTAAAAAAAATGAAGTCGTTTTTTATAGCGACACGGTCTACGAAGCATAACTTTGACTACTTATTTTTATGAAGATATTTATCAAAAAGTGATATATATAATTTTTTGTGAAAATATTTTTCAAGACAAATCTATACATATGGTTTTTACATTTCTAAACTCAATAACTTGAAAGTTATTCATCATTTATCTTCTCAATGTTTGACTTAAGCCTTGTCCAAAACGACTTTATTTTTTTAGTATGGAGGGAGTATTTATTTTTAGCATTCCAGCATTTGCAAAAATAGATTAGACTAATAATTTTTGCAGCAATATTTTGCTACAACAAATTAGACCTAAAACAGAAGCATCAATCCATTTGCGGCAAAGTAATACTGTATTCCACAAATGCACCAGTATTGTTGATAGGATTTACTGATTGCAGCAATAACACAATTCGATTTGATTGATCACAAGAAAGCATCAGCAAAAAACAGATATATCAGTCAGTTTATTGAATCTTCGGCAACAGGACACCACACATCCACTTGCCTGACGCAAAATGTATCTGCTAAGAGAAATCAGCAACTCCCATAAGCAACCTATTTATCAATCCGACCGGTTAATCCTCCTCTTTTGTTAACTGCCGATCTCCTGCATACACACTATCAACTTAGGGAGACTTAGGGGGTGTTTGCTACTCCTAAACTTTAGTCGCTGTCATATTGAATGTTTAGACATATGCATGGAGTATTAAATATAGACTAATTACGAAACTAATTACATAGTTTGTGACTAATTTGCGAGGCGAATCTTTTAAGCCTAATTAGTTCATATTTGACAATGTGGTGCTACAGTAAATCTATGCTAATGATGGATTAATTAGGCTTAATAAATTCTCGTGGAGTACTGACGGATTCTGTAATTTATTTTTTATTAGTATCCGAACACCCCGTGCGACACCCTCACATAACATCTCTTAAATTTTAGTTATCGCATCCAAACACCCCCTACTCACCCACTAGTTAAAAAAATTTTACTCACCCACTATACTATCAGTTCTCTTTCATCAGGTGTTCAAGACAGCGTATGCTGTGAAAAAAAAAAGTCTATGTAACCCCTTCACCTAGTGTGACTCGATTACTTCACCCTCTAACCTATAAAATCAGGTATTTAACCTCCTCACCTTTGCAAAACCATTTTAAATAACCCTACAGTGGTTTTGCATAGCGGTTTCGCCATGCTAGCTGACGTAGAAGATTGATAAGTGGGCCCGGCTTGTAAGTGGCGCCCCCTTCTCTCACTGATAGATGGTCCCCACCCATCATCCCCAACCTCTAGCTCCTTCTACCTTCCATCCGTGAGCGAGGGATCAGCATCCACTCTTCCAGATCTCGCTCGGTTACCCACGGTGATTTCTTGTTGGCTCCCGGCCGGCTTTTTCCGTGCTCGTGCAGCTGAGGCGGCGAAGTAGAGAGATGAGCAGCAAGAAGGCGGAGGGCAGCAGCAAGCTGGGGCGGTGGCTTGGCGCGCCGGTGCCGGCGCTGTTGCGGGCGGGCGACTCGTACGTGCGCGGGATGTCGGCGTGCGCGTGCCGGATGCCGACGCCCGCGGGCACGTATGGCGGCCGTGGCGGGTTCGCGCCGGGGACCGTGGAGGCCTGGACGTTCAGTTCCAGCTCCCGATGCCGCGGCGGTGACGACGTCAACGAGCTCGTCCGCGACAGGCGGCGGCCGGACGCGGAGGCGATGATGTGGCGGCGGCGAAGTCGAAGGTCCCGGACTCCCGGTGCGCAGCCGGAGCGTGGCAGTAGGGCGGATCGACGAGGACGCGTCGTGCGAGTTCGACGCCGACGACGTCGTGCGCGTCGCCGGCCCCGCTGTGCGCGCTGGGTACAAGCCGGGGCGTCGTGCGGGGCTGATCCAGCGTCCGGTCCGTTCGTCGTGTGCATCGTCGGCGCATGCAAGCAACGGCGGCGCCAGCATGACGGCAACGTCCTTTCTTACGTGTGCATAGCTAGCTCGATTTCTTCAGCGTTCGTAGCTCGTACTAAAGCCGGTCGGGAACCAACAAGAAATTTACAGTGGGTAACAGAGCGATCTAGAAGAGTGGATGGTGATCCCTCGCCCGCCATGCATGGAAGGTAGGAGCTGGAGGCAGAGGATGACGGGTGGGGACCAACAATAGGTGAGAGAAGGAGCGCCACTTACAACTGGGGCTAGTTTTCACTCGTCCACATCAGCATTAAAGTCCACCTCAGCGCGCCAGCATGGCAAACCTACTATGCAAAACCACTGTGGGGGGTTATTTGACCGGTTTTGCAAAGGTGAGGGGTTAAATACCTGGTTTTATAGGTTATGTGGTGGAGTAGTCCAGTCTCAATAGATGAGAAAGTTATGCAGACTTTTTGCCGCTGCGAAATGCACTATATCTCAAAATCACTGACTTTTGTCATGATGCTTCAAAGTTCTGATTATCTGGTGCTTACATCTCCAGTGACGGGATGTTCAGGCACATGATGCCAATCGCTATGTGAATGGGAACAGTCTGCTTGAACCTCGTTCTGTTCAAGAAAACCCTCTCAGAGAAACAGTGGTCAGACCAGAAATGAGTAAAATGCCCCAGCCTGCTGGCACACAGTGCCGGAAAGAGAATGAGCCCTGTAAACCATATCATCAGGTATTAACTTCCATTAAGGAACAGACAACCTGAGAGATCCCAATGTGAAATATGAACAGAATTATACCTTGAAACAATCTTTTATAAATATTGCAGAATACGTTACTCACAGCAACATATCTTTACAGATAGTCAAGGCACAAATAAAGTTGTGCAGGGAAAAAAAATTGCATTCAGTTTGATGAGAACATTTTGCTGATATTGGTGAGAACTGACTTGATTGAACACAAGCAGGCATCAGGAAAGAAAAACACAAAAATACTAGCAATTTAATCTATGCACAAAGCAGTAACCATCATCTGCTTATTAATGCAAAAATGCCACACAAGTAGTAACCATCTCAAACATGTAACTGGAAGAACAAAACACAAGCAATCAAATAAATCAAGCTTTAAAGATGTCATGAAGATTCAAGAACGTACTTTTACAAATATATAATCATTATACGAGCATACATATAAACCACCAGCACGCTGGTTTTGGCAACAACACACTATCACCTGGAACTTGCACGATTCATGAACTAATCCAACAAAAACAGCGACTACTCATGAACGAACAAGCATTGCATCTCTAATTCACTACAAATCCAGCGCAGAATCACGCAGCAGCTACCAGCTAGTAGTATCCGATTCAAGACAGGTCAAGCCCGGACCGGAAGCTCCATCTCCGGAAAGAGCCTGCGGATGAGGCGCAGGCTCTTCCCTGCCGTGGTTGGCCTCGGCATCTCCTTCTTCGTAGTCGCGGCGACAGTGGCGGTGGGCGGAGGCAGGGACGGCGGTAGAGTTGTGGGCGACGGAGACGGATCGATCACCCTGACCTGGTGCGGCGCGACGTGGACGGTGCTCTTGGGATCGCCGCGTGGCAAGTTGGCGTCGTAGACAACCTCGTAGCCTCCGTCGGTGGACGACGACACGATCGTGGCTTTGAGGCAGAGCACGAGAACCTGCCCCGTCTTCAGCTTCGCAGTCCTCGTGCGGACACGAACCACCGTCCCAGGCTTCAGCTGTGCTGGGACGCGGGGAGTAGCTTGGAACGCAGACCCGGCGGCGGAGGGGTCGGACCGAAGCAGCGGCGGCGGCGGAGAGGCGCGGGTGCAGCGCGACGAAGAGCGTGACCGGGGCTGTGGTGACGCGTCGGTGACGGTGGAGCCTCGGGAATGGGAGATCGTCGACGATGGTACCTCCTGGCGCGGTAGACGAGGGCATGGACCCCTGACGGCGTAGCTCGAACCGTGACGCGGCGGCGGTGACACGGACGGCTTCTTGGCGACCGACCTCGCGGGCGCCAAGGGCTTGGACCTCCTGCGCTGGAGCTCGCGGCGGATGCTCCGCATGCCGGCGGAAGAGGAGCGCGGAGGAAGGTACATCACCATGGAAGAGGAGGGCTGTGGGTCGATTGGATCGACGAGAAGCAGAGATGATGGGTGGACTGCGGAAGGCGACGGCGGGTGAGCAGAGGAGCTGGGTGGATTGCGGAAGGCGACGGCGAGGGAGCACGGAGCTGAGGAAATTCGCGCGAGGAGAAGGGAAGGGGAGGGCGTTGGATTTAAGCAGCCGGACTGGATCCAGATCTGGCCCAGCTACACGGTTTCGAGTCCGACCCGAAGTTGGAAGTTGCCGTGAGGGCCGAGTCGAAGTCGACTGAATGAAACGAGGCCGGATCTTTTTTCTTTTCAGCGGTTGGGCTATTGCGACTGGGGGGTCATCTTGTAGCCCATTAATTATCCCTTCTTTCCTCCTTTAGGCAGAATCCAAGTAATTATTATTTGGATCTTTTGTTGTGATATTTGTGCCGATTCCTGTTAAAAAAAATCCACATTGGTAGTGGTAGCATTTCAGTGAAACACCAATTGGATAGATATTTGATGCTTATTTTTAGTATTTTCGTATTTGCTAATAACGTTTGCAGAATAGAGTGCATCAAATATATGACTCCCTGCTACTTAAAATTACAGTAGGCCTCATTTTCGAGGAACACATACATAGTAACAGTTTAAGAGACAGGTCAAGCATATTAGACGTTGATACAAACTTATCAGTGTAGGACAAAACCTGAAAACTTGCAAAACCGAAGTACGGCCATGAAGGGTATAACAACAAACTGCCACAGATATTTTCCTTTTTTCCCAGAATAGTCTACAAGCTAAACACAAAGAATATGAATAAAGATTCGTAGCACTTTAGCTCCATATTGAGTCTATCATATCGAATTGGAGTAGTGTGTATTTTAACTAAATAATAAGTACTGAGCAGAATTGCTACCAGACACAAAATAAGGCTGTTGTCCTGCCACTTAACATGCAAGGACTGCTGATGCTGATCATTCTGAGTTGGAATGTCCCGGAAAGATTACCTGCTTATGGCATGAGATGAGAACTGACTCTTCTTCATTTAGGATCCTTGATGGGCCTCCACGAAAGCATCCATCTAAATAAACCACCTAAAAATGGAACAATGGCAGGCCCTCCATAGGAAAGAAGACTGGGTAGTAAATCCATTTTTCATCTTCCATAAGGATCTTCAATTATTACAAGAGAATAAATATATTTTGCTTATATTGTGAAGAAAAAGGAAAAGTATTGTTTAATCTTTTCTTTTGACTGAGGATTAAGACATGGTCACATTTCATTACTACCAGCCAACCCAAGGAATACACATATTCTCACGTTTTCGCTATATATAGCTTTCAATATAGGGATCAAGGAAATATGCTGATGTATAACAATAAGGACTCCGTTTGGTACTACCAGATGAACTGTGGTAGTTAACAGTTGTCAAGAAGGTGGAACGTGGAAATTGGACTCAACGGAGTTCAAATTTACAGCACAGCTTTACCACAATCAAGTTACAAGGTTTGCTGTCTGATTGGTGCATCCCTTTCATGCTACATTGTCAGCAGGCCTCACCCTGGGGATCCGTCGGCAGCTCCACGGCCCAAGAGGAAGAGAGCACGCAACGTGTAGTTGTCCGGACCGGAATGGGCCTGCGTGTCATGTAATGAGAGGCCCAAGTCGGAGTGAGATAAGAGGAGGCCAGGAAGGAGTCGTGAGGGTATGGAGTGAACTACTCTGTTGTATTCTGGCTATCTCGAACGCACTTCCCTAATATACATCATAGTTTCTTGTACTTCTTTCCCAAGTCCGGCCGGCCGCCGCCTCGCCGGCTAACACTGGTACCAGAGCCGTCGATCCCCGGCCACCGCGCGTGCTGGAGAACCTCCCACCCGCCCATCCCCACTTCACCCGCCTTCAACGCACCCGCGGCGCCATGGATCCAGTGGTCCGCCAGATGTTCGACGATTTGATTCACCGCTTCGATGCTTTTCGCTCCGAGTTCGACGGTCTCGGTGCCGCTTGGATCGGCGCTTCACCGAGACGGAGGCTGTCCGCTCCGAGCATGATTCCGTCGTCGACCGCCGCCTCGACTCCTTGGAGCAGTTCGCCTCTGCCCAGTACACCGCCGCCATCGCTGCCGACAACTGGGGTGGCCACTTCTCCGAGCGCGTCAGCGAGCTGGAGCGCGTCCACGATCTAGAGATGGTGCGCTACGTCGAGATCCAGGACGAGCGCGACGAGCGGTCACCGCCCTCGAGTCCGCAGCGGAGGCGTTCGAAGCCTGGCGTCCCTGGATCGAGAGCTCCCTCTTCACCGTTCGCTCGGAGGTGGATCGGTTGTCCAAGCTCTGGGATCGAACCTGCACTGCTCAAACCGATGGATCTCCCGAGCCCAACGGTACAATGGAGTTGGTCGCCGGGCGAGCACCTGCCGAAGCAACGACCGACTGGCCCAGTGGGCACGGCGTGGCCTCACCAACACGGGATGCGGGGTATGGTTCGGTAACGACCATAGCCCCGTTCCCGGCCAATGGTACATTACCCGCCCCCAATCCTCCTCCGCCGCCGTTACAGTTCCCTCCTCCTCCGCCACCGCTTACTTACCCTCCTCAGCCCCCATTACCGTATCCTCCTCCACCGCCGCCAAACCCATACCCGACGCCATACTACCCGCCTCCGTTTCCACCTCCACACTATCCTCCCAATTTCGCTCCACAGCCCATAACCCACCCCAATTCATCCACCCCCGTTCACCACCCTGCCCACCCACATCCCAATTTCATCCCCAATTCCCATCAGCCTAATTACCTTCCCTACCAAACCAACCCCAATTTACGCCACCTCACTAAGATGTTGTTTCCTCAATTCGACGGGGATAATCCTAAGCTGTGGCTGTCATGTGCTCGCTCCCATTTCGAAATGTACTCGGTTCATCCCACGATCTGGGGTTCGCGTTGCCACTCACCACTTCACCCATGCCGCAGCTCGCTGGCTTCAGTCTGTCGAGTCTAAAGTGCAGAACATATCCTAGGAGTCGTTCTCTAACCTCATCCATGAGAGATTCAACCGTGATCAGCATGAGCTGCTGTTACGCTAACTTTTCCACATCAAACACGCCTCCACCGTTTCTGATTACATCGAAAAGTTCACTGATCTTTTTGAACAACTCAAAGCCTATAATGCTAACCCTGATAAGCTCTACTTTACCACTCGCTTCGTTGATGGTTTACGTGAGGACATTCAGTCTATTGTTATGGTTGCTCGACCCTAAAACCTCGATACTGCTTGTACTCTTGCCTTGTTACAGGAAGAGGTGCTGGACCAAGGTATCCGTAAGGAGTTCAAGTGCTCGGAAGCATCCCCGTTCGCTCGAACGGCAACAATCAAGGGTGCTCTTCCCTTGCCTCCTCCACCCAGGCGTCCCCAAGCTATTCCTGATCCCGTTGCTGAGAAGCGAGTTCCGAACAAGTCTACTTCCATCGACGACAAGCTATCAACACTGCGAAATTACCGTCGAGCTCGTGGCCTCTGTGTTCGCTACGGCGACAAGTGGGCTCCAGGCCATCGGTGTGCTCCAGTTCCACAAGTTCATACTCTACAAGAAGTCTGGGATCTGTGTTCCGAGGCGTTCTAGGAAGCTGACGATACTCCTGTCCAAGATTCTGAACAGACCACCGATGCTCAGGCACTCATGATGATATCGTCTGCAGCGGTCTCTGGTTCTGCTGCTCCATGAACAATGCAATTCAAAGGTTCACTGCTGGGCCATGAGATCATCATTTTGGTGGATTGAGAGCGACCATTCCTTCTTGAGTTCCCGCCTTGCAACCGGGTCTGCGCCAAACTCAAGCCTCTTTCTAAACCGATGACATCGAGAGTTCTTGATGGGGATCTATTCTTCCTTTCTGCTGAACTTTCTATACTGAATGGATGAGTTCAAGGCCACAGTTTCCACTCTACTCTACGTATCTTGCAGTTGGGCTCCTATGACATGATTGTAGGTATGGATTGATTAGAGGCCTTCTCACCTATGAGGGTTGATTGGCAACACAAGTGGATGAGCATTCCTTATGGTCGACACCATGTTGTCCTTCGTATGCGTGTTGCCGATTCCGATCAACGATTCATCATGCAACTTTGTCACATTGTTTGCTTCAACGCCTTTACTCAAACGACTGAGCTTCTCAAGACATCCAGTATCTCATTGAGGACTTTTTTGAGCTGTTCCAAGAACCGACTGAGCTGCCACCTCGTCGTCAGTGCGACCATCATATTCCTCTGGTTCCCGGTGCTCCTCCAGTTCTTGATCACAAGATCTGCTTCTAAGCCGGCGCTCAAGGATGAGATTGAAAAACAAGTCTCCGAGATGCTGTAGTCAGGCATGGTACAGCCGAGCTCGAGCACCTTCTCTTCACCGGTGCTCTTGGTCCACAAGAAAGATGGTACGTGGAGGTTCTGTGTCGACTACAGGATGCTCAACGCCTTGACTGTCAAGAGTAAATTCCCTATTCCAGTAGTGGATGAGCTGTTGGACGAGTTGTCCCAAGCCCGCTGGTTTTCTTGCTTGGATCTTCGGGCTGGCTTTAATCAGATTCGCCTGGCACCCGGTGAAGAACATAAAATGGCTTTCCAAACACATTGGGGTCAGTTTGAGTTTACTGTCATGGCCTTCGGATTGACCGGCACACCAAATACCTTCCAAGGCGCAATGAACACCACTCTCCACCCTCTGTTGCATAAGTGTGCTCTGGTTTTCTTCGACGACATCCTAGTATACAGCCGTACTCTCGAAGAACACATTCAACACCTACGCCAGGTCTTCACCCTGTTGGCAAGAGATCAGTGGAAAGTTAAGATCTCCAAATGTCGATTCGCCCAGCAGTCAATTTCCTACCTCGGACACGTTGTCAGCCATAATGGCGTGTCTACAGACCCCAGCAAGATTGAGTCTATCCAGCAGTGGCCTCAACCACAGAATATCAAAGAGCTCCGCAGCTTCTTGGGGTTAGCCGGTTACTACCGTAAGTTTGTGAAGCACTTTGCTACACTGGCAAGACCTCTGACTGATCTTCTGAAGAAGGGATCTATATTCATTTGGACTCCAGCTCATCAAGCTGCTCTGGATGCTTTGAAGTCTACCCTTGTTTCAACTCCGGTGCTTGCACTTCCAGAGTTTAGTAAGCCATTTCAGTTGCAGACGGATGCTAGCGACTCGGGTGTTGGCGTAGTCCTGTTACGAGATGGACACCCACTTGCTTTTGTCAGCAAATCATTTGGCCCCCGAACTAGAGCTCTGTCTACTTATGAAAAGGAGTTCCTAGCCATCCTAGTGGCAGTCGAGCAGTGGCGGTCATACCTGCAGCATAGTGAATTTACAATATTCACCGACCAATGTAGCCTCATGCACATTACTGATCAGCGCTTGCAGACTCAGTGGCAGCTCAAGATGCACACCAAACTGGCCGGTCTTCAGTACAAGGTCCTTTACAAGCCCGACACGTCAAATTCGGCCGCCGATGCACTGTCTCGTCACCCCAACCCGCCATCCCAACTCCAAGCTCTATCAATTTCTACTCTGGCTTGGCTAGCAGATGTTACAGCCGGTTATGCATCTGACCTGGAGTCTACAAAGTTGCTTCAGGAGCTGTCTGTTAACCCTCAGAGCCATCCACCATTCACTTTGCAGAATGGCGTCATTCGCTACTCAGGCCGCATCTGGGTTGGCAACAACCATCAACTGCAGCAAAGAATTATTTCAGCTCTTCATGACAGCGCGTTGGGAGGTCATTCAGGGTTCTCGGTCACTCACAGCCGCATTAAGAAACTGTTTTGCTGGCGCGGTATGAAGCAGACAATCAAAACTTTTGTTGCTGCTTGCTCAGTTTGCCTCCAGGCCAAACCAGATAGAGCTCGCTACCCGGGTCTCCTTTCGCCTCTCCCAGTTCCTACGGAACCTGGCAGATGGTGTCCATGGACTTCATCGATGGCTTACCAACCTCTGGACACGCCAACTGCATCATGGTGGTAGTGGATAAGCTAAGTAAATTCGCACATTTCATTACATTACATCATCCTTATACAGCCCAACGAGTAGCACAAGCTTTCCTCGACAATATCTTCAAGATCCATGGCTTGCCTACTCATATCATCTCAGATCGTGATCCCATCTTTACCAGCCAGTTTTGGCGTGAGCTATTTCGTCTTGCTCAAGTGACATTGGCTATGAGCTCAGCCTACCACCCTCAATCTGACGGCCAGACCGAACGTGTAAATCAATGTCTCGAAACATACCTGCGTTGTTTTGTTCATTCCTGCCCAAGACAGTGGTTGAAGTGGCTACCACTTGCAGAATACTGGTACAACACCAGTACGCACTCAGCTCTGGGAAGGTCGCCGTTTGAGGTACTGTTCGGTCGATCTCCTCGTCATTTTGGTATTACTGATCTTGCTGTTTCCCCTATGCCGGACGTGGCCACCATGCTGGCGGAGCGAACCACTATGCTCGCATCTGTACGCCAGCATCTTCTTCGAGCACAGCAGCGCATGAAGCATCAGGCGGACAAGAAGCGCTCGGAGCATGTGTTCCAGGCTGGAGACTTTGTTTACCTCCGTCTGCAACCTTACGTTCAATCGTCATTGGCGTCGCGCTCCCACCACAAGTTATGCTTCAAATACTTCGGTCCGTTCAAGGTGCTGTCCAAGATTGGAGCGGTGGCGTACAAGCTTGAGCTTCCTTCGACGTCTTCAATCCACCCGGTGTTCCACGTCTCGCTTCTGAAGCCGGCGTCATCCTCTGTTCCGGCAGTCTCCGCAAGGCTCCCCGACCCCGACAACAACATGCAAGTACCTGAGCGTGTGCTGCAGTCGAGGCTACAACAACGTGGTACCCACTCCGTCAAACAATTGCTGATCAAGTGGTCCGACCTCGACGACGAGCTTGCTACCTGGGAGGACACCAACGCCATCATGCAACGTTTCACTGGTGCTCCGGCATGGGGACATGCCAGCACTCAAGGGGGGAGGGATGTCAGCAGGCCTCACCCTGGGGATCCGTCGGTAGCTCCAAGGCCCAAGAGGAAGAGAGCACGCAACGTGAAGTTGTCCGGGCCAGAATGGGCCTGTGTGTCATGTAATGAGAAGCCCAAGTCGGAGTGAGATAAGAGGAGGCCAGGAAGGAGTCATGAGAGTATGGAGTTAACTACTCTGTTGTATTCTGGCTATCTCGAACGCACTTCCCTAATATACATCGTAGTTTCCTGTACTTCTTTCCCAAGTCCGGCCGGCCGCCGCCTCGCCGGCTAACATACATCCTGCGACCTACTGATAAGCATGCAGGAGCAAAAAAAGTTTTGCCAAATATAAAGCTGCTACATCCAACAAGTACCACGACAGAGAAAAGGATGCACATGGCAAATACTCTGTACCATCATTAACAATCAATGTCAATATAATTCCAGACATCTAATTATATGTTGTCTGGATACTGATAGATGTTCTTGAGATAATACTCCATATGTATTCTTGACGAAAAACACTCAAGCCACAACTTTGGAACTGCAGGATGCACAAGGTAAAGGGTACTAATGAACCTCTTCTCTGAGTTAGCAAGCACTGTTGCAGGGGCTAATTTTTTTCTAAGCAAGCCATGCTCTTGGAGCCACCAAAGCATTGTATACCTAGGCTTGGATCTGTTCTCCAAATCAAAGCACAGAAATGCAGGGAAGCAATGCAGGTACTCCAAGGAGTAGCCAAGCTCCTCTGTGAGGTAGTTCAACTTCTCATTGAGCATATTCTTACTCTGGTTCAGCACCTTTGGAAAAAGCAGCATCCGATCCGACATAGTATCTTATACTCCACTCCTCTTTCCAGGAGGTAGTCAAACCGCTCCAACAGCAAATCCCTGGTGCTGTTAAGGGCAGGAATTACCTTGGTGGTTATCTCATTCTCACCATACCCAACACTTTTCAAGAACTCCAGCTTCTTGTCTACAAAATGTGCTTTCCTCTCAGCCATGACCTTAGCCATCCCATCCAAGAAAGCTCTTTCGACCTCAGCATCATAGCTATCATCCTCCAAAACAAATTCTGGTGATAAATAGCGCCAACTCTCCCCACCAGCCAATATCTTCTCCAGGAACCGATGCTCCAGCTCCATTGCCCGCAGTACCCTAGGAAGGTTCTCCAGTTGGTTCTTCCCAACAACATACGGGTGCTTCTCCACTGCAGCATCGATCTCATCCTCTGCCAATCCAACCCTCCGCAGATACCTTGGCACTGAGATCACCACATCAGAGAAATCAAGATCGAAAATCCTGGCATTGCTCAGCAAAAATCTCCCCATCTCCTTCCCCTCCATCCCCAGCTCCTTGAAGAACCACAACCTCTCAGCAATCCTCTTTTCCCCGAGCTCAACAAACACCCTCTGGCTGCCTCCGACAAGTCCCCCAATGCTACCAATCTCTGCCCCAGCATCATAAAACATCCGCATCCTCCGGCACACCCCCGAGAACGCGTCAATGTCATTGCTGGAACTCAAATCCGGCCCCAATCCTTTGAACGTGATGGCAATATCCTTAATGAGTATATCATAGTCGGATATATCCCCCGAGAAGCGATGGGAAGGTAAGGCAGGCGGCGATGATGGCTGCGCGAGGGAGCCGGTGGAGGCGGGCCTCGAGAGCGGAGAGGCGCGCGGAGATGAGGTCCGGGGGCACGTCGAGGAGGACGCTAGGGGAAGAGGAGTCCGAGGCGTGACCACGGGAATCCGAAGTGCGCGAGCGCGGCGACGGCGCCGAGCAGGGAGGGGTGGTCGGAGAGGAACATGGAGTTGAAGCAGGGGGCCGCCGCGGTGGGCCCGCCGATTGATTCGAGGAAGAAGGGAGCTCATTGAGCGGGTGGAAGTTGAGGTGGCGGCGGAGGTGGGCGGGAAGCTCCGAGGTGGGGAGGTGCGCGGCACGGTGGGGAGCGCGGCGAGGAAGGAGAGGAGGGAGCGCGGGGAGTGCGCGGCGATGGAGTCGGCGTGGGAGGACGCGAGGCAGCGCGTCGAGTGGAGGTACTCGGAGATGACGGCGCGCGCGGCGGGGACGGCGACTTGTCGGAGGCGGTAGGGCAGGTTCCGCAGCTTCGGGGGTGCGAGGGCGGCGTCGGTGGAGAAGAAGCGGCGGAGCTGGAGCGCGGCGCGTAGGCTTAGCGGCATGGCGGGGCTGCGCTGCTCAGCTCTGCTCTACGGCATCGTTCGGCTTCAGAACAAGGGGAAGGGGTGAATGGGATGAGCGAGAAGAAAAGGGGGTTTGGGGCTAGGAACGTTAGGGTTTTTCTGTCCGCTGCTGGCTCCGGCCCGGGCCCTGAAGCCACAGCTGCCATGGTTACTGGCCGAAAGAGAAAACTAACGAACCAAGATTTGAAAATCAAATGATGCCCAGTGTTGCAAAGCAGCCAAATTTTGGCTTGGCTTGGACACACCTTGGCACAAACCAAACACACTTTTGATATTAGATGAACATGTTCTAAATGCAAGAACCGTATAACATTTCCATACTAATTTGGGATGCCATTTCGTATTTAAAGCTTACTCCGGTTGATTTTTTTACTAGGATTATGCTACCCGGTCGGTTTTAGTTGATGTTTTTGTGATAAAAAAAAGTTAAGGTACCATATAATGGCGTAAATTAGGCTTACCACACTTTCAATAGGTTTAGAGATTGAGCTATTAAGTTTTAGGCTAACCTTATGAAAAGAGAGGTTATGGCGTTTCTATACTTGTTCGCTTGAACTTATCAACCTAACTTATCAGCCATTTATCAGCCATTGTACAGTATTTTTCTCTCACCACAAATCAGCGAACAATATTTTTCAGCATCAGCATAAGCCAAATTTCAAATTGCCAAATTAGAATACAGCTTTCGTCTACAGATGTGATCCAAGTCTAGTCAGACAGACAAGAAGTAAGCAAACTTTGATAAACCTGGACAATGAACATTAAACCACATGTAACCTCATGCACGCAAGCAGTAGAGCCATTTGCTCAACTTCAACAACAAAAGTAAATTCACTTCCAAATTCAATGACCTATGTAAACCCGTCAAGAAAAAAAAATGAAATCTTGTAAGGCAATATCTACAATGATTTGTTTGGAAGACAAACACTATTATTATGTTACAGCAGCTAACCGCGAATGCACAGGAAACTAATTCCCTAGATTAACAGTAGCGTATAAGCTAATTCAGCAAATGGTCAAAACAGCACATCTGGTTTACATCCATCCAAGTATACTTTTATTGATATGACATGACCAGATTCTAGTCCCGTGGAGAATTAACACTAGCGTATATACAAACCTACTCCAAAAATGTTCCGGCCAAAATGCTTATCCCTAACAATAGCGAGCGGTAATCCACCTTCCTACCTGGAACTTGTACATAGCACGAGCTAACACCAGAGAGGTCTAGCGGAGATGCTGATCATCTCCACACGGTTTCATTTAAGTCGGTGAAGATGGCATTGTGATGCGCGATCAGACACTGGATGACCTCAATGGAGCTGTAGTCTGGGGGTGAAGCATCGTCCAAGGGGATCTGGGATGAAGCATCCTCGTCATCCTCGTCTGCAATCGATTAAACAGCTAATGTGTTTATAACAGTTGAACAAAGAAGTCTTTGCGAACAAATAGGATTGTAGTTCCTAGTGTCAGAAACTAAATATTTTATGAAAATCCAATTGGTTAAATAGTCTACATGAACTGAACAACCAAAAACCTTTTGGGGAATAAACAAGGCCCAGCCATTTTCAGATGAAAATCATCTATAACTTCCTTTTATTGCAAAATCATCTGATGAAACTGTGATAGCACACTAAGAAAAATCATGACACGGAAATTTTTAAGGAAATGCCCCATCTACTCAAGAAGCAGAATATATCAATGACTACAAGCCCAAGCATGCAATTCGGGGGAAACAGCCTAAGCTGAACTCTGATTAACATGCCTTTCAATGGTGACCTAAATGTCTACCAGTTCTTGTAATGCAAAGATGGGCTGATGTACCCACGCATCTGAAACTTCTTTTGGCTCGTGACTTGGTAGTTGGTAGGCAGTTGGCACATGGCCCACGATCTCAATCATTAATTCATGCTGGACCATAAGATAGAGGACAGCAAGTACCTTTCTCTGCTAACATGAGCCAATTCCAGATTTGATAACTTAAATGATTGATGCCACAATTGATACAGACAACTACCACAAGGGCAGCCACAAACAGACTAAACTGCTCTATGCCACAATGATCAGAGACAACTACATAATCTGAGGTTGTAATAATAAAATAAACAAAGTAGAATTTACATACCTAACAGGTCCCATGTGGCAGTATTTGATGTTGTATCCACAATTTTTGGAGGAGGTTTCAGGGTAAACTTGAGGTGGTTACGCAAATCTGTGCCAGCATCACCTTGCCGCCACATGATCAAAGGCGCAAATTCCACAGCAAGGCTGCGGGAGTCCATCTGCATTGCATACCAAAAAAAAAAAAAAACTTGTAAAACACCACCCCAAAGGTGATTTAGTAGTATTAGTTAGGACAAAGAGACCAACTCGAGAAATACAGAAATTAAAGCCGCATCCTTTGCATATGTAAATTAGTAAACTATGAAATGCTTTACTCCAAAAAGATATACAATGTGGTTATCAATCTACACTCTACAGACAAAACAGAACAATATCCTTTAGTCAGTATATTTATGCTCGTACCTGTCACAATTCACAACCCTATTTAAGACAGCTAAGCAGGTGTGAATGTGTATCAGAATCCCATCTGTTTGCTACATCGCTCATGTTTTTGTCCCAATCAGATAGAAGTGGCTAACAAATGTGTAACTGGACCTACAGCTGATTAAGCAAACCATTGTTGTTCCTTTTTAAAGAGCTTTTTTCTGAATTTGAATGGAAGAGTAGTGAAACCTGAGCTGAGATTTTTCATATAAAAGTTATTTAACTTTGGTAATATGAAAGTTATCATGAACAACAAATAAACAAATCTAGTTTAACACTCTCAAACCCAGTGGTGGCCAACTCTTTAAAAGGCTTGTTTACACTTCTATAAACTTTACATACAGTTTGGTTCTTCATTGATAATTGGCCTTATTTTGCAGAAACTACTAGGGTTCAAACCAAATAGATAGGTGCTGCATCTTCCACTGGATCTCAAAACAACTAGGTGGTATATGGATTAAGTGTTCAGTCCATGTTACCCCTGAAGATGTTATAGACAGTTTTACTGATTTCTAGCATTGCATTATATTATTCAAAACAGGATGTATCTGTTACTGGGTTTGTTACAAAAGTCTTTCAGAAACCCAAACTGTCAGTCAAGCCATGTTAGGTGAAATTGCCATTTCCTAACATTTGTCACCCTATCAAAGCTAAAGAGAAAAATGTGCAAGACAATCAAAATGTCAGGGGCATACAGTTCCATATTAAGTGGCTCCAAATACGTACTGAATCTGAATGTTAAAAGGTGACGTCCAAAAACAGTCACAATGACCCTGCTAATAATCTGTATCGTATATTCAGTTCAGATTTATTATTTTTAGTTCCAATACTATTATCCAAAAACAGAACAAAGAAAAGGAATAACAACTTGCAAATGCATCATTGAGAAGAGAAAAAATAGGCATCAGGTCTACCTTGTTAAGTGATGATTTACGGCTGACTCGAAGCAGCAACGCTGTAATAAACTCTAGTGTCATGTAGTTCACATTTGGAAGCTTCTTCAATATGTTCCTAAGATCAGGAATGCTAACCCTCGCAGCTCGAAGCTCATCATAAAGCAAAAATGTAGTAAGCGGCTCAGGGATACTGGCAAGGTAGCACTTCACCAATGCACCTACATCAATAGGATTTACACCTTCAGGTAAAGATGAGCCAGAGTCTGCAAAATATGAAAAAAAAATCAGGGGCATGTTAACAAATGATAGCTAAGCTAAGCTTAAATATGATTGAGCGGCAGTGATACCTTCATTGTAAAGGGAAACTAACTGCTGAAGAACTTTTTTGTCACCTTCAGATTTGAATAAGTACTCATTATTCAAACCTGGGAAGAAAATGATAAGAAATCATACAGTAGTAAAATTAAAATGGAGAGAAGCTTTCTGTATAATTTTCAGCCAGTCACCTGATATAACCAGGTAGTCTGCACATCTCACTAGCACCAAGGGCACAGCTTTACCAGATTGCTCTCGTTGTACAGTGGCTTCAATAGGAACACCAAACACTGCAAGATCATGATGTAATAGTGGATCATTTCTTGCTGTTCATTGCTGCTCTTACTGTACAATGGCTTGAACAACTATTTAGATTTTGTATCAGAAGGTCATTTCTCACAGGTCACAATCCACAAATAAACAGAACAGACATAAACTTAACCTAAAATATTAGTGAAGAATAAGTCAAACAAGCCAGGCAAAGAATAGCACTGTAATCAACATAAAACTTAAAGGCATATGAATCCAGAACTAACGCTATGCTACAGGAAATTTAAGCTGCTACAGGGAAAAATAACTGCCTGGATGCTACAAGAAAATATATATGCGTTGTCAACTATGATAGATATGAATCCTGGATATTGAATTGTGAGCATACCATCAGTGCTTGCGACTCCCTGGGGCAAAGAGTCAGAAATGAGAATCAGCATTGTACACGAAAAAGGTCAAATTGTGTTACTAGGCAACAGAATTCCAAATCACAAACCTTCTGCCAGCGTTCAATATTGTTCAAGATACTCTTGCTTTTATCTGCAGTTTTTTTTAGCAGCCTGCAAGCACATGAAACCAGAAAAGGGTGAGTTTCTCTAAAGACACTAGTGTTTATCTATAAAGAATGATGAACAAATGGCATCACAAAAGGAATGCAAGGTCCAAATTCCAATATCCTGGAGAAAATTACATTTCTCAATAGGCTTTAATGTTACCGCGAAAACATTTAAAATAGCTATTTAATACACCAACGATTCTGCCATGATGTTCACACCTGGAAATGCCAATAACCAAGGTGCACTACTTGTTACTCCATCTTTTTCCTGGCAACGATTTAGTGCACTATTCAACTAATCTTTATGTTGGTAATAATGCAGAATAGACAAATTTGCAGAACAACTAAATTTTTGGGCATAATTCAAAATGATTGCAACAAATAGATTACACAGAGAACTCCACAGCAGTTGAAACTACACTGACCAAATAACATGTCAAAGTACTTCTGTTGAAACGCATACATACCTCTTCAACTTTGATCTTTCCCACTGCAACCTTCTCCTTTGTCTCTGAAATGCCTTTCCTGAAAAGCAAACCAGTGGAGGCAGCAGCAGTGATGATACGCTCTTGCACTGTCTCATGTGGTGGACGTTGCTGCTGCTGCTGCTGCCTAGCCTCCTGGAAGACAGACCACCGACTCTTCACCACGGACCCAACCTTCCCAGCAACATCAGCTATATTATCCCCGGCTGATTGCCCTGCCTGCTTCAGCTTGACACCTGCATTAAATCGGTACAGTAAGGTTAAAGTTCCAGGTAAAGCAGACATAAAAAAATGGTAATAGGTTACAAATACAAGCAACCTGCGCAGTCACACTCAGGACTATACTAGTAACTCGATAATAGCTCCGAAGGACGTGATAGTTTTTATCTTTATCGGTGCCAAAAAGCTATGGGGTACTAGTAAATCACAACATCATCATGACAAAGCAATTTGATGCAATGATTATGCTGAAGTAGGAATATTCGTACAGAAAATGATTACCGAGTGATTTACATCAAACAACAGGATGTCACACTTACTGGATGTGGAGAAGAAATCCGTGGCCTTGCGGCGCCACTGGGGCGGCTCAGCCAGCGGCATGACTACCTGCACACGATGAGGAACGTCCACTGAGCCATGAAACAGCTGTACTAGAAGCACGAAATGGAGTATAATCCGTAGCAGTATAGCAAGGAAAATCAGAACCACTCCCGTAACGCAGCCACCACTCAATTGAGTGTCATATCATGGATTAATAACTCCGTACAACATCTAGCATAAATAGCACCCTGAAGGCGTAAACAACAAATGAAAAGCTGAACCGCACGGTTATACTACTCCTAAACCCAAACGAGCTCAAAACCAACCCAGCTCCTAATCACAAACCCAAATACAGGCCAACTCCAAACCAAACCAAACCAAGCTAAACCAACCAGCCACCAAGTAGATCAACAGCTCGAGCTAGTGACGAATGAAAACCCTAATCGAGAAAAAAAATCACGCACTCGATGCCGATCGAAGTTCGAGCATGCGAAGATCCAAACCAAACCAAAGCGACAGAGAGAGACGCGGGATCGAACGAACCACGGCCCGATCCGGCGAATCAGCAGGCGGAGCGGGGATGAACGGCGAGCTGGAGCCGACCGAAGAGGCAGGAAGCACGCACGGGGCGATTACCTTACCTCTCCTCTCTCTCTCCCTCTGGCTCCCGAAGAGAATCGGATGGAAGCGAGGCGAATCGCGGTGAGAAAGCGAGAGGACTGGGACTCTGCTAGAGGCCGCCCGTTCCGCGAGCTGAAAATGAGTTGGGTTTTGTTTGGGGCGTTCCGCTCCTGGTTGGATTCTGGTTGGCGGCGTCGAGTCAACCATGGCGGAGGCGAGCGAGACGCAGGAGGGATTTGGGAATCCCATTCCCGGTCGTGACGTCGCGCCGCGCCGCCTCTCGCTCACTCGCCTCCACATGGGCCCGGCGGAGAGCCGATGCTCGGTTCTAGAAGCATCTGTGGCTGCGGGACTCGGGAGCCGGAATGGGATAGGTGCAAGGAATCACGGATGGGTGGCCGAGAGACGTGCGTGCATTGATTGACTTGACCACCTGTTTCCGTCCGGGATTGGGACTGGCATGGGGATGGCAGGCGACCAGGCCTTCTTTCGCCCGCTATTTGGTGTTTGATTGACTATTCTCATGGATGTTTACTTTATTCATGTTATTGTTCATTATTATATCCTTTGGTTTTACGATGATTGGCTTAATTACTGTGGGCCTAGAGAGTGACAGTTGTTGTGGCACGCTCTGTTTTAAAATGTACAAGCACAAGCTAATTAGTTAAAAAAAATAAACTAACTGTCGAACTGGGTGGTTTATTCTAAACATAGTATATTTAAAAATAAAATACTCGCTTCATTTCAAATTATAAGTCGTTCTGATTTTTTTTAGCAAAACGACTTATAATTTGGAATACAGGGATACTAGTTGAGGTTAGTTTTGGTGTTTAGTCGCAAGTATATTTTCAATAATTGGGTTTTGTATCATAGCACCTAGTCTCAATGATAAGGTGAATCTTGGATTTTTTGTTAAGGAGCTTGATTCTACTTTTTTAATAATCTCTTATATATATTGATCAAATTAAGTTGAAAATGTTTAGATTTTTGGTACATTGAGAATAACACTTTTGCGGCGCGAAGGGAGTATGCTCTAACTAAGAGCAGCTTCAGTTTACATTTTTTAGTAAGATATAAATATTGACATGTCACTAGATGTTTTGCTAACAAAAAAGTTTCCAATTTACATATTTGGTAATACATTCTAGGTGGCCCCACACACATTGAAAACATGCTCTCTCAGGCTTCTCTCCAGCAACGTCTTCACGCGGATCATTTATTATTTTAAAATTTACTTTTGCACTGGTTTCTCATATATGCTACTAGTTCCAAACAAAAACAATGTCCACTTTGGCTTTACCTACACAACACGCTATTTACGATATTGTTCACATGAGCTTCTTTTCTTTCTCTCTCCCTCAAATGAATTAGAAGCCGACAAAGTCATTTTTAGGGCTTCACCCATTTCAGCTTCTTGTGGCAATATAGCAATAAGCTAAAACCCTTTTAAACTCTGCTAAAGATAGGATAACTAACATCTTTGCTCCATTGTATTAAACCTCTTATATGTCTCTCTTCTTTTACACCTCTAGAGCACAAATGGGATGGATAGGCATAGGAAGGAGCAGGGCGAGGAGACCCATGCATCGGTCTAGTAGTGTAACTATGAATAGCTGTTACATTTGATGACGTATTGATAGCATGTGCGCGCCCCTCACTCAATCTTCACATCTACTCTCTCTATTTCAAAATAAGTGTCGTTTTATGTTTCATGCCGGTCAAAGTTTCTTTAAGTTTGGCTAGATTTATAGAAAATATTAGCAACATTTGCATCTCAAAATAAGTTTATTATAAAAACATATTCAAAAATTAATCTAATGGTATTTATTATGCACCATAAATATATTAATAATAACTTTTTATATACATTTTGTCAAAGTTAAAAATGCTTGATTTCTTAAGAAATGGGAATAAACTTTCCTATCCGTTGACAGAGATCACAGAAACTTGTGTTCAGGACTTCAGGATTTGTTGGATAAATGCCAATGAGAGGGAGATCATTGGCACCGTAGCGGCATGATGCTGCGCTGCCGCCTGTGCAAGTCGGCTACAGTGTGGCCGCCTCACGGCGCAGTGGTCGCCTCGGCTATCAATGACGGTGCCGCCATAGAGCTATGCAATCATTGGGAGCATAGCACGGTGCTCCTCCCTCCATTCCAAGACCTGTTCGGTTGAAACTTATCAGCCCGGTTTATCAGCCATGATACATTGTTTCTCTCACAACGAAACAGTATTAGCCGGCTTATCAGCCGAACAAACCAAATATGGTTGCATTGGTTCCGAATTATAAGATGGTACTAACCATGCATGAATATCATGTTCGCTTGATCGTATCAGTCATGCTTATCAGCCATGATAGAGTGTTTTTCTTTCAGAACAAAACAGCATCAGCCGACTTATAAGCCACAAAAACGATAAGCGAACAGGGTGGAAACTAAACGCCAGCGTGTGCCAGAGCAAAATCACAGAACAGAAGAGCAAAGCTAACCAAAAAAACGATGTCAGAAAGTTTCGCAAGCAACAAAAGGCATATCTTATTTCCAATTCTGCAGCTCAAAAGATTCTGAATTTTGTAAGAATCCACGTCTCAATACAATAGCTCATAGACTGGCGAAGCATACTCGTCAAACTGAAATACCATAGCTTACTGCTTAAATAAGGAACCATATGGAACCTGTGCTACCATACAGCCACTCCAGGACGTTGAGTGGGGGACATTTTGTTCCATTTCTCTAATGTGTTGCTAATTTAATATATGATCACCCTTATAAAAAAAGGCATATCAAGGTTCAGGGCAATCTACAATTCTACATCAACCAGCAAGAGATAATAACCAACCACCGCCGCAACACTAAATCCATCGTGCCAGACCGAATACACAATAATACATTACTAAACCATCATTTTCATCGACTAGTTACACAGGATAACCACAAATATAGTTCATGGCACTTGCTCCATGGTACACTGATAACAGAGTTCAAGGAGCTCGGAACACATGTAGCAAAATTTAACAATGCAACAAAAATACCAAATACTATCAGAGCCTGCATGAGGCGGGTTCCACAGTAGCAGAGCATCAAGATGTATTTGCTCAACGGTAGCGACGGAGGGAAAGGGTCTGGTTGCGCTTCCAGGTGGCCCTCCTCGATGGCCTGTTCTTGTGGTGGGTGTGGCCCTTGCCACGCAGACCACGGAACTTCTTGCCTGCGGAGGTGAGACCACGGAGCTCACGGTGCTTGTGCACAGGATTGCAGAGCCAGTTGATCCTTGGGTCATTGCGGATGGTGGTGTGGGCCACATCTACCAGGATGATCTCAAAGTACTTGTAGGTGCTATCCTGTTGTTCAGTAACAAGAAAGAGATAAGGCATCAGTACTAACTAGGATGAAAATTCTCATGAGATCTTGTTATAAGCTCAACTCAATTCAAGTATACCTCATTCACCCAGTAGGAGTTGAGAACCCTGAGTCCACCAAGCTTTCGTCCAGCCCTCTCCTCTGCAACAGACCTCTTGTTCCTCTGGAACTTGAGCTGGGTGATACCCTGGTGCTTGGGCTTGCCATAGACAATACCCTTAGGCACAGGCCTCTTCCTGCCACCACGCCTGACACGGACACGGTAAACAACGTACCCCTGAACAAAAAAAAACACAAGGTTAAGCAAACAATTTAGTCAAGGTTCAGAGCCAACAACTACTCAAATTTTCAGAGCAAGCTAGTTTAAAGCATTACGCAGACAAGTACAAGCTGTTCATTTCTACTCAAAAGTGAAACCATCCAGCTTCATAGACAGCATACCACCACATGTAGTGACTAGTTAAGTGACAATAGGTGATAACCAATACTACCACAGGCAGGAAGCTTCAAGATAACTACTACTTCCAAAATCAAGCCTACCGTACCACAAACTAAATCTCCACACAAAGACTAAATTCATCACAAACCCATTGCTACAAAAGGGTCTAATGAAATATACTTTACTCAACAATAGGTCCCAAAGAAACTACTCCGTACAATAGATAACAAATATATCGAACACCTGCATGTATATCAGCAGGAGGTTAAAACCTACAAAATTAGCAGAAGGGACTCGTCATACCGAAATACTAGTCTAAAATAAAACATTGCATATCAGCAGAAACAAATATACTACAGCATTATAAATCAAATAAGCAAGTTATCCGGAACCTAAACAAGCCTTCATTTCGTCCAGGAAGATTGACATAATCACCACAAATAATACAACTACCCGCCTGGCTTGCAAGAAGGCCTAAAAATCTGAAGACAAACCAGCATATTATTATAGCACTTAGGAAAATCACAATCCTAAATGACAATGGCAATCCCTGCACCACCACCCGACCTCCCGCTATCCACAAATCCATCGCCATCAAAGGTCGACGCGCCAATTGGATCTGCAGGGGAGGAGATCTACCTGCTTGGCCTTGTAGCCTAGGCGGCGGGCCTTGTCGGGGCGAGTGGGCCTTGTGAGGCGGACGATGGCCGGCTGTTGCCTGTACTCCCAGCAGCGCACGCGCTGCACGAACCGCATCACGTCGGACTGCTTCCTCCTCCATAGCTCCGAGACGTACTTGTACGCACCTGCGCCACAGCGAGAAACGATAAAACACACTGGAAGACCCACGCACGCGAATCGGAGAGGGCATCAGCGGTAAGGAGGAGAGCTCACCCATGGCGGATGCGGCTGCGTGCGACGGCGGCGGCGGGGCAGGGAAGGTGGAGCGTGCGGAGAGGAGTCTGGGGTCTGGGTGGCGGCGGCGTAGGAGGGGCCTTATACCGAGGCGATGGAGTTCTTGTGGCCGTCAGTTTTTTTTTTTTTTTGAGAACATCGTGGCCGTCAGATGGGGCTAGGGTTTTGGAATTGTCCAGGGTGGATGGGCCGCGAAAGTTGGGCTTTGCGCTGCAGATGTACATAGGCCTTGTTGGTTGTTGGTCTCTTGCGTCGATTTTCTACCCTAATGCATCATCTTTTCTTTCCTACGTCCACACAAGAAAATGACCCCCGCTGAGATGTCCCCTCTAAGTCCATCCCAAAAAGTATACCCAGGAAAACAACATATTTCAAACGAACCGTCCAGATGCACTCTAAGCCTTCTCTCTCCTTACTCATTACACAATCGAGGGCCTGTATTGAGTGTATCAAATCTCCTCATTCTCCCCCACACCCACGTCATGCAGCCCCCA